TCAGGCAGACACGTAGTCCTTCTGGCTTCCAGCCACCAGACTCACAGGCTTCCGGGAAAGGCTGACAGGGTGGCTCTGTTCCTTTGAATCTGAGAATATGTGGCTGCGGAAGCCTAAATTAATTAAATGATGCTGAGGACCTGAGGTCCTCCTAAAGAAGTACACAGGGTTGGGTAGCAAGGAAGGCCAGGGTAAACTGCATTCCCTCCCCCACATTGGAATCCAAAGAAGCCAATGAGCTTTGTTAGAACTAAGCCAGCACTTAAATGCTTCCAGGGAGACAAAAAAAATAATAAATCAAGAGCAGTGCCCCTCCCACATGTTACCAATACCATCAACTTGTTTATCCATGGAAACACAGCCATTATATGCCTCAGGGAGATGTCTCAGTGAAGCAACAAGCCCCTCCTTGGAGTTGACTTGGCCCATCATGGTCCCAGATAACAGTCCATGATTGGTTGATGTCTTCATCCAAAATAGCACCCACACACACAACTCTTCTAAGACTCCTCCCCCCATACACACACATACCAGACCTCACCCAAGCACAGATGCAGGAAGGTAATCTTCCTGGCCCCTCCCCGAACTCCCATACACCAGGAATCCCCTAGTCTACAACAAGCACCAGTACAGTATGAAAAGGACTTGGTTCTAACAGAATGAAGCCACAACTGTATCCAGTGGATAAAATGAAATGTTGTCATCCAGAAATCATCAAGCTGTCTCTGTCCACACAAAACCATAACTTAGTTCCTATAAAGTGTCAGGCATTGAGCTAGATACTTTCAAGTTAGTCATCTCATATTTTTCAGATATCCTGGACCAGGACAGCATAGTGGTTGAGAGCTGAATGCTAGGGCTAGGTAGCCTGCATTGAATCCTGTCTCTACCACTTGTGAGCAATCTGACCATGGATGAATCATTATGCCTTACTATCCTTGCCTGTAAAAAGATAATATGGTTGGTAAGAGGATTAAGTGAGTTGTTTGTAAAATGTTTAGAACTGTGCCTGGCACATTATAAACATTTCTATGTGTCTAATAAAATTCCTTTCTTTACTCATTTGACTTACACTGAGTATCTGATAGGGACTTTGTAACAATAGTGCCTATATCTGACTGAAAAAGGAGAGGAAAAAATGCTTCCATTTTCTCCAACAGAATTGGAATGGAAGTTCTCATATGCCTGTAAGTTATATTCAACAAAAGGAGTATTCAGAAAGGAATTTACCAAGAGTTCTGTTGAAGAGGAAGTCACAGGTACAGGAAGGCTGAGGGACAGGGCCTGTGGGGAGGCTGATTGGCAAGTGGTGGAGTCAGGGCCAGCACCCTGGACAGCTCCCCTAAGGCAAGGGCAAGAATGGGGTTGTTCCCAATGTCCTGCAAAGGCTCAGGTCCAATACTTTTGCTGAGGTAGAGAGTCCTTACCTCCCCGCAACTCCTGCAACATAGTTTTTGGAAGGAATGGTGTGGGGAGTTGTCTTCTGAGCTTGGATTTGGAGGGTGAAGAAGTTTAGTGTCTCTGGGGCCTCCTTAGGAATCCAACCCAGGACCTTCTTCCTCCTGTGGATTTCATCTGCCCCTCTCCCCTACACTGCCAGGCTGTGGCCACCTTGCAGATGAAGCAGCAGGAGCACATTGAGGTACAGGGTGTGAGGAGGCAGTGTGAGGACCACAAGTCACACAGCCCCGGTTCAGATCCACTGGTGGGACCTTGGGCAAGTGACTCAACTTCTCTATGCCCAGTTTTCCATCAGTAAGAAAGGAAGAATAGCACCTGCATTGCACCAGGACTGAGTGAGGATTAACTACAACAGCACACACAATACCCCTGGCACAGATTGTTTAATAAATGAGTCTGTTTCTTGCCATTAGGGAATGGAAGACAGGGGATTTAAGCGTGAGCCTAAAGATAACTTGGCTCCCTGCTCAAAAACAGCCATGAATTATGTGTGTCAGAGGGCTTGGAGAAGGGTTTGTACCTTGAAGGCCCTGGAAAAGTCTCTCTTCTCTAAGATTCTACTAAGTTCTAAGTTCTTCAGCCACTAGACAAAAACTTCTGCTTTAAATATCCCCCTTTCAATCAGACAGGGAAAACAATATATGCATAAATAATCATTGTTCTGCACAAGGGAAGACTGCCTCTTTAAAAGCCTTATAATGAGAGAGTCAGAAGAGGCCTGGAGATTCTAACTCAAAGGACTAGAGACAGACAGGTGATATAAATGTGCAAAGCCAGTTAGAGGGAGCCTGTAATGAGCTTGAAAGTGTATGTGTCCTGACTAAAGGCCTCCAAATAAAATATAAAACAATTCTTTCACCCCAAAAGAGCCCTTCTACAGCACCCATTTCTGCTAAAGGGCCTCAATAAGAAGGCTCTCCCCTAATCTGTACTTAACAGATACTAAGGCTGGAGCTCAGAGAGAAGCTACAACTTGCCCAGGATCACCCAGAGCCAGGCCTGTCCCCAAACTGAGGCTCTTTCCCTCTCTCAAACACAGAGGCAGGGCTGATATTCTGGGCCTGGTAGGGGCAAGGCGACTTTTCTCCTCAATCCCCAGAGCTGTTTGACTGCTACAGAGCAAGGTGCTGGCAGCTCCTTAAGTGCAAGAATTTCTCCTTTTTCCCTGTGGTGCCTGGGTGAGTGGAGAGATTAGACAATAGGCTGCTGCCACTCATTCTAAAGCTCTGGTCTCCATCACCTCACCTCATCCCATAGTCATCTCAGGGACAGAAGCCAACTTTCCAATGATCCTCAGCCTTCCACCAGCCAAGACAGCTTGCAATCACAATGCCCACCCAACCAGAGGGACTAGCCAGGAAGCCAGGCTGACCCTGTGCATTTTATCTGCTCTTCACAAGACTCACAACTGTGAAATGAATATAAAATAGCACATTTTACAGGTGATAATAATAACAATATAAGGCACTTACATCCTTCTTACTATGTGCCAGGCACTCTAATCAGTAAGTACTATTACCTATATTGCAGATAAAAAAAAAACAACAACAAAAACTGAGACACAGAAGGGTGAAGAAATTTCCCCAGCATCCTAACTAGTAGTGCAAGAGCCAAAAGCCATCTCAGTCACCTGTTTCTCTAAAGTCCCAGTGCTTCGCACTGCATCAAGGTTCTTGTTAGGGTCAGGAAGCATGGTAGGGGAAGAAGTAGGACCTAATATTCATTTCCTTTTGAGGTGAGAAGGGTAGGAAGAGTCTTCTCGGACTCTGGAAGGGGAGACAAACTGTAATCTCAACAACACAATGCTAAACCCATCTTCCCCAGGACCTCTGTCCTGCCAACCCACAAACCCGTACATGGACTAGATGTTCCATACAGGATCAACGCTCTTTTGGGGGCGCACTGGATCCAGTGTGCAGCCAGGGAAGCTCAACCTGTCCGCTTAGAACGAGGCGTCTCAATGGGTACGGCCCTTTCAGGAGGTGAGCCTCTCTTAGGTCTCTGATGAGAGCAAAGCGGCTGAGTCTAGCTTGGGCGCGGAGGGAAGCGGAGACCAGTGATATTGGGCGTGGCGCCCAAAAGGTCTTTCTTACAGCTCTAAGAGAGAACCCAAGCCACATCACTCCCGGAGTCCACCTGGGGCTGGAGGAAGCTTTGGAGATTGGGGGTGGGGTGGGGGCGGCGGATAGAAATACGGAGCAGGGAACGGGGCGGGACTCACTGGAGCCCGAGGAGGGGTTATTCTCTGGCGAGAGCGTAGAGCCTGGGAGGAGTTAGAGGGGGAGGGGTAAGGAGGAGGGAAGGGAGAAGAGGCGGCGCTGCGGGACCTGGACAGTTAAAGAGGAAAAGGGGTCTACTGGCTGGGAGAGGATGGCGAGGCAGTGCTGGAGTGTAGTAGAGGCAGGGTTGGTATTCCTGGCCCGGTAGGGGCAAGGCGACTTTTCTCCTCAATCCCCAGATTCTCTTAGGAATCCTCTGCTTTGACATTCTCCTGAAGGGCCGGTCCTCGGAACCCCGCCCAACAGTCTCTGCGCTTCACCCTCCCTTCCCTGGGGTAGAAGGGCCGGGGGCGGGGCTGGAGGAAGGGTTGGGGTACCTGTACCCCAAGCTCCTCAGGTCTCAGTCCCACAATTAGGCTACTAGAACAGATGGACGAGGCTGCGGCTCACCTCGGGGGCTCCTTGCCCGCTGTGTTCGGAGATCCAGGTTGCGGTGGAGATTTGGAGCCCCAGGCGCCCCCCTCTCCCGCTGGGTGGGGTGAAAGCAGCCGCTGAGCGCCCCTCCCAGGGGGAGAAAAAGGGACTCGGACCCAGTGGGTCCTAACTGGGGGCAGAAGGTGGGCAGAAAGCCAGCTCTTCACATGCAGCACCCATTATCCTAGGGGACTTGGCCAAGACTCTTTCTGCACCAAGACCCCTTTCTGGGGTTTTCAGCCCGAGCGCATCTGGGAAGGAGACCCCAGCCGGGCCGCGCCCCGCCCCCGGCTCCCGCCCCGCCGACGTCGTATTAGCATGAACGACGCAAGTGGCCGGGGCACCACTCGGGGGCCGAGACTCGCAGCGTCACAGCCCCGAGTGGAAAGGGAAAAAAGAGGAGGCGGCGGAGGAGGAGGCAAGAGTCGGCGCTAGGGGAGGGGAAACCGGCGGCCGGGTGAGCAGCCGGGGGGCGGGCGGCAGCAGCATGCCCCTCGGCCCAAGCAGGCGATCTCTCCGCCCCGCGGGGAAGGCTCCAGGCGCGCCAGAGGCTCAGCGCACTCAGTCTTCGGCCCGGACCATTTAGGGCACCCGCCTTCCCTGATCACCCCTGATCCTAGCGGCGGAGGGTCTGGGGTTCCGCCCCGAACAGCGCCGGCGTCTCTCCGAACCGGGTATTTGCCTTTCCTGGGGTGCAGGGCAATGAGCCCTGCAGCCACCTGAGGCACAGGGGGCGCTGCGTGGCGGGGACCGCGCCCCCGAAGTTCTCTGAGCTCTTGTCTCTGCACTGCAGGGTGCCTGCGTCCGGCCCAGCAGAGGTGTCCTCGGAAGTGCGGCCGGGTGGGAGAAATGGAACCAGCTGGCCAGGCCCAGGAGGCAGCCACCAAGCTGTCGGAGGCTGTGGGCGCAGCGCTCCAGGAGCCCCGGCGGCAGCGACGCCTGGTGCTGGTCATCGTGTGCGTGGCGCTGTTCCTGGACAACATGCTGTATATGGTCATCGTGCCCATCGTGCCTGACTACATCGCCCACATGCGCGGGGGCAGTGAGAGTTCCATTCCAACCCCGGAAGTGTGGGTGCCCACTCTGCCACCGCCCACTCTAGCCAATGCTAGTGCCAACATGCTCAACAGCTCAGAGTTCCCGACGGCTTCGTGGCCCACCGGGCCTGCCCTGAGACCCCGCTACCCCACAGAGAGCGAAGACGTGAAGATCGGGGTGCTGTTTGCCTCCAAAGCCATCCTGCAGCTTCTGGTGAACCCCCTAAGTGGTACCTTCATCGATCGCATGAGCTACGACGTGCCGCTACTTATCGGCCTGGGCGTCATGTTCGCCTCCACAGTGCTGTTTGCCTTCGCGGAGGACTATGCCACGCTTTTCGCCGCGCGCAGCCTGCAAGGCCTGGGCTCGGCCTTTGCAGACACGTCCGGCATTGCCATGATCGCCGACAAATATCCCGAGGAGCCTGAGCGCAGTCGCGCGTTGGGCGTTGCGCTGGCCTTCATCAGCTTTGGAAGTCTGGTGGCACCGCCCTTCGGGGGCATCCTCTATGAGTTCGCGGGCAAGCGCGTGCCCTTTCTGGTGCTCGCCGCGGTGTCACTGCTCGACGCGTTGTTGCTGCTGGTGGTGGCCAAACCCTTCTCAGCCGCGGCGCGGGCGCGGGCCAACCTGCCGGTGGGCACACCCATCCACCGCCTCATGCTGGACCCCTACATCGCTGTGGTGGCCGGCGCACTCACTACCTGTAACATCCCTCTCGCTTTCCTCGAACCCACCATAGCCACGTGGATGAAGCACACGATGGCCGCGTCGGAGTGGGAGATGGGCATGGTCTGGCTGCCGGCCTTTGTGCCTCACGTGTTAGGCGTCTACCTCACCGTGCGCCTGGCGGCGCGATACCCACACCTTCAGTGGCTCTACGGAGCTCTGGGGCTGGCAGTGATCGGTGCCAGCTCGTGTGTGGTGCCCGCCTGCCGCTCCTTCGCACCACTAGTGGTCTCTCTCTGCGGTCTCTGCTTCGGCATTGCTCTGGTCGACACGGCTTTGCTGCCCACGCTCGCCTTTCTCGTGGACGTGCGCCACGTTTCAGTCTACGGAAGCGTCTATGCCATCGCCGATATCTCCTATTCCGTGGCCTATGCTCTCGGGCCCATAGTAGCGGGCCACATCGTGCATTCGCTCGGCTTTGGTCAGCTTAGCCTTGGCATGGGCCTGGCCAACCTGTTCTACGCTCCTGTCCTGCTGCTGCTGCGCAATGTGGGCCTCCTGACGCGCTCCCGCTCCGAGCGCGACGTGCTGCTCGATGAGCCACCGCAGGGTCTGTACGATGCCGTGCGCCTGCGTGAGTGCCCTGCGTCCGACTCGGACCGTGCGCCTCGCAGCCCGCCTGGCCCGTTTGACGAGTGCGAGGACGACTATGACTACTACACCCGCAGCTAGCAGTCCCGCTCCTCCTCCAGGCCACCCACCCCCTTCCTACCCCTGGGGTCAAGGTGGCTGCTCTGTGAGGACGGTGTCCAGCTCAGGCTCAGGGCCTGACCTCCAGCGAGTACCCCGGCGCCAGTTTCTGTCTTTAGTTCCTCTACCAGGGTTCTCTCTCCATGACCCTTTCTGTGTCTCTTTCCCTCCCATCTAGTACAGTATGGAGCACCGAGGCATGCAAAGCAAGGTCCTTGCACAGAAAATGAGATGTGAGAGCCTCTACCTTGGGGCCACCCTGTGTGTAGGGCTGTATGTATGTCTGTCCTCCCTTCTGTTCCTTGGCCTGCTGCACAGAGGTGTCTCCTGCCCAAATCAATAAACCAAAACTGTCCCAGACTGAGTTTCTTTACTGGTGGGGATTGGGGACTAGGCACAGGGCCAGGACAGAGGGGACAGTGAGTTCGGCCCAGCTGCAATCCAAGTTGCAGCCAGCCATCACACAGAGAGCCTGTGGCTCTTTTGCTACCTGAATAAGGAGACACATACGAAAAAGCAAACCCGACAAGGGCTCTCACCAATGGCCACCCTAGGGCCCACATCCCCTCAGCTTGAGACAGCCTAGTGCAGCGCCCAACTGTGTGGCCCAGGGGAAACTGAGGACCTGCTCCCTCTGATGCACAGGACTCACCCCTGTAGGACACGCCCAGTATCGGACACAAACCTCTGATGCTCTGGGGGCTGGGCTTCCCCTTGAGCCCAGCGGCCTACTTCTCTCGACTCCAAAAAGGTATAGGGGTAGAGCTGTTCTGGGCAGAGGTCTGATCTCTGGAAACATGTGTGTGTGATGTGTGTGTGTTTGTTAGAGTCAGGCTGTATTCTATGAGAAGTAGGAAAACAGTTGTCAGTGTGTCATGCTGTGTCCTCATCTTGTGGGTTTGAGCCTGGACTGGAGAGGGTACCACTGTGGGATCTATTGCCAGCCCCTCACACCTCCCCACCTCTACCCTGTCCTGGAGTGGAAGTGACTGCCTTCTTTGAATTCGGGTCCCCAGGAGCCCTAGGCATGTATTTGTGTGCCACTCCCAGTTTCCAAGCCTGCGACCTGCTTAACACCGCAGAGTCCTCATATTCCAGTCTGGAGAGAGCCTGCTGGGATTGCAATGCCTGTTGGGATCTGCATGCTGGTGTGTGCATAGTCTGTCCTCAGTATGTGTGTCTGGCTTTGTGTGTTTGCCTGGGCAGGGTCTGTCTTTGTGGGTCTGTCTGTGTGTTGTGTGTAAGGATCTGTATGTGGGGAGGAGGAGGAGTGCTTTGTCTGGAAGGAGTGTTTGTCTCTGGCTGCCTGTCTCTAAGAATCCCCAGGTCTGTATCCTCCCCCACCCCAATAGTGCCAGACAGTGTGGGGACCTGCAGTGATTAACAGGTTGTTTTTGTTATCATCATCACCATCATCATCATCATCGTTGTCCTTGTTGCTGTTATTTTGGAAGGAGTTGTATGTAGTAGGGTTTGAATATGGCCTAGACGATGAGGAAAACACCGATTTCCCCAGATCCATTCCTTCCCAGAGTTCTGCAGACACAGCTGCGGCTAGGATATTGGGGTTGGGTGAGCGAGGGGACTGGGGATGGCATGGGTCGGGCGAAGTTCTGCACGCCCTTCTCAGTTCTGGCTTCTGCTGGCCTTGTACAAACTGACCCCAGCTGGGCAGTTGTGGCAGGTGGGATTCCGGAAGGCTGCGGCGAGAGGGGTGGTGAGGGATAAAGGATGGGGGGGGGGGGGGGGGGGAGGGAGGGAGAGAGAGAGAGAGAGGGAGAGAAGAGAGAGAACGAGAACAGGGGTGGGGCTGGGACAGGGAGGGGAGGGGAGGGGAGGGGAAAGGAGAAGAGGGGAGGAGAGGGGAGGAGGAACAGAAGGAGAGGACAGGCGCGGCCGGATCGCTGGCAGGCGGTCGGGAGCCCGCGAGAACCCGACAAACGTCGTCGGAGGCTCTGCAGCCGACAGAGCCAGCAGCCCCAACGCCGCTCTGCTGACGCGCTCTCGGATCCCTTGAGCTCACACTCCCGCCCCCAGTCCTGCTCGGTGCGATGCAGCGGCGGCTGAGCGGCAAAGCCTAGGAGAGCAGGTAAGAAGGGTTGGGCTGGCTGCGCCCAGTGCGGGGAGCAGAGGAAGTCTCGGTCCAGAGACCGCGCCGGGACGACAGGTCCCGGGACTGTCGGAGTCCTAGTCCTGAACGGCAGCGGCCGTCGTGGGACCGCCAGGAGACTGAGGGGTTCCGCAGCTCTGCTTACCCAGAAAGAGCGGGGGCAGGGAACGGGGAAGCCGGACGGTGAGACGTTTGGGAGAAAGGGCTTGGAGAGGCTTGATCATCAGGGCCCCGCGGCTCCACGTGAATGTTTTCACTTCTCCAGGACCTCCATCTGCTGAGTGCCAAGGTCTGCACTTCTCGTGCCCAGTCGGAGGGTCTGCAGGTCTCCCCACGACCAGCCCGAAGTGCCGGCGAGCACTTACTTTTCTCCCACTCTGGAAGAAGCAGGTGGGGAGAGGGCGAGAGTAGCAAGCATGAGCCAGGTCTCGGGGAGTCCCTTGAGGGCTGGACAGCCTTGCCTATGGTGCGGGAGCGAGCTGGGGTTGGGCCTCTAGGGCAAAGCAGAGATCTCTGCGGGAAGCCTTTGAAATCCTGACCGGTGGGAGGGCACCAAATAGACTGAAAGGTACACAGGCACACACTTAACACCCTCTAGGCGCCTGCCAAAGCCAAAGAAGAAGGATAGCTGCCTCAGAGACCAGGACCTCCCCTTTGGCCCCGAGGAAACAGCACTGCTTCCATCTTCTGCAGCTCTCCGGGTCGTGGGGTCTCTGGGTTTTGGCTAGTATCTTCCAGCTATGACACTGGCCCTGGGCCAGAGCAAGAGGAAGCATGAGCTACACTGTCTGAAGGGCCTTTACCAACCCGACCTTTCCCTTCTTTGCCCCATCAAAACCCTGTTATTGTGGGGCTGGACCCTCACCTGGATACTGAAGCTTCCACAATGGGTGGGAGAAGCCCCTATGTGAGCCATTGCACTGGCAGTTTGGAGACCACCTAGTCCGGAGCACCTGGTGCAGTGCCTGCAAGGACTCTACATTTTCTGCCCAGCATTTCCAGGCAGCCCCGGGCTCCTCCAGCACTGGACTGGGCTCATCCATCTTTCTGGATGCTCTGTCCCTGGGTTAACTGTGTCAATGCCCAGCCTCTACCTGGACTGTGCCTGCCTGGAGTGTGTGTGTGGTGTAGGGGTGGAATGGTCTAAACATCAGCTTTAGTCTTTTGGGAAAGAATAGGGAATGGGTGAGTAGAGAGCATGGGTGTGTACCTTTACAGGCTTACACTTAGCTTAGAGGGATCTCTGAGGGTAGAGTTTGGGTCCTTAAAAACTTGCCTTTGCCACCCTTTGTCTGACTCACTCTATTGCACCTTCAAAATCAATCCACTACACTCTAGGATATCAGGTGGTCCCTAGGGAACTGGGCTGCCCAACTTCCCTGTACCACCTCCCTGAGCATTCCCATGGCACCTACACTGGGAATGTGCAGACCAGACTGCCTACCTCACAGTCCACCCAACAACACAAGGACCCTCCCTGCCTTGGCCATATGCCAGCCTTTCAATCAGCCCAGAGAACCTTCTGGAACCCAGGGCCTTGGAGAGCTTTGCATTCATTCAGAAATATATTTATGCATGCATGCCTTTCTCTTACTCAGCTCCCCAACACTAATCCTACTCCATGCTAGACACCTGCTAGGTCCCAGAAATGAAACACTAAACACAACAGGTGTGGTCTTGCCCTGGAGAAGCTCACAGTCTAGTGAGAAAGAGAGCTTTAAATCTGCAGAGCACACATCTATTGGGCCCCAGGCAAAAACAAAGCAAGTATGGATTAGGAGTGGGCAAGCCCAGCCCTGCCTCGTACAGTGCCCTGGGGTAGTCAGTTGAGTCTGGGTGACAACAGTTTGATGGAGCAGGTGCCAGCTGGAAGCTCACTTCAGGCACCACCCTCTCTTACTCTGGGGTTCAGAGAAGACACCATGGTCAGGGGAGCTGATCTGGAGGCCAGGGAATTGGGGCCAGACCTCAGTGAGACCTGTGTACACTACTGTTCCTCTCTGGCCTCCTCACAGGGAATAGGTGGGTGTCAGACTACAGGAGATGAAGAGTCCATGGCAGGTCTATGTGGCTATTGTGTTGATGCCTTTCTGCTTCTTGGTCCCCAGATCTGATCTTTGTTTCCTCAACCAGGAGTCATCAAGATGCCCATTCTGGATAAAGTCTCCCATAAAATGGCAGCAAAAACTCTCAGCAGTGAGGAGGAGCCTGTGAGTGACTTTTGGAGCCCTATCTCTTATTCCTACTCTCCCTATTCACATGCCCTTGGCTTCCAGAACAGTGCTGAGTGGAAATTGTCCCCCGTACTTGCCTGGCCTCCATTCCTGCCTTCTCCTGGGCATGAGGCCCAGGCTGCAGCTCTTCCCTGAGCCTGTTGAGGAGCCTAGGCAGGCATGGGGGCTCTAGGAGTAGCTTCCAGAGGTGCTAAGGGAATGCTGACAGCCACACTTCCTAACCTCCAAGGCCAGGGAGAGCCTTTGAACTAGACCAGATACTCTTTCTTTCCTCCAGGACTTACCCCCACTCCAATTTCCACTTCCAATTGCTTTGAGCCCAGAAAAATTGCCTTAAGTAAGCCTTGTCACTTCCTGGCCCCAGCTGTTATCACTGGTTCAGCCCTGGAGCCTTGAGACAAGCCGCCCCTCCCTAGGCAGGTATTCTCCCTCCCAACCCATTCACCTTCCAAAGTGAAGAGCAGCACATCTGATCTCTGCAGCATGGCACATGTTGGTTGTTCTGCGACACTTGTCTTCTTGACACCCACACTACTCTCCATCCACCCCCACGCTTCATTTGGAACCCTGAGCAGAACTTTCTGGTTTCTCGCTGTAAAGTTGTTCACCACATTGTCCTGTTAGCAGCAGCTGACACCTTTGAGGTTGCTTATGCTCCTTGGCACATCCTTCTGTTTGGACTGTGGCCTTGTCTCTCCATCTAACCAGAGTCCAGCTCAGGGCCTGGCTCACATAAACTGCCCAGGAAACATATATTGACTCAAGACCCCAGGGTCCAAAGACCCTCATAAATACACATCCTTGCCTCCATTCCTATTGTGTGCAAGGAGCCCATGAAAGTCTGGAAGGAGCCCCAAGGGCCTGAGACATCCAAGCAGAGGTTTTCCTGCCTTGTTCCTTTTTGAGCATTGTCAATCCCCCATGACTCAGGCTGAGTCCCAGGGCACTGTCAGAGCCTCCAAGAAGGGAGGCCTGTTTCTAACAGGGGCTCTAGCCAGATGTGCTGTCACTCTTGGCCAGGCCACCAACAGGGCTTGGCTTTCTGTAGGTACTTGCCCACTCACCCACCACTAAGGCCCACAGGTCCCAATAGAAGAAAAAAGGAACAAGAGCAGCTACATGGAGGACCTGGTCCTGGCTCTCTGGAATGGGCCGGATAGCCTGAAATGCTGTCCAGACCTGCCTTCTAGTGGTTCCCAGAGTAACAATAGCTTGTAGTTGCATTGACAGCTTCCTCCCTCCCCCTAAGGCAGTGAACTCTAGACAAAGGATCAGGAAAGTGGAGGAGCCCCACTCATTCATCAGGGCATGTTCTCTCAGTCCCATCTGTCCATGGCAGCTGTGGGGGCTCCAGGCTGTGCAGCAATAGAGCAGAGTGGAGGAAAGTTTTCAACAGCCCCCTTCACTCCACAGCCTGCCTGGGACAGAAATTCACTTCTTCCATCACATTACAGAGGAGAAATCCATGAAAGAAGACAGCCAACTTTGTAAAATTTAAGCAATAGAGTGAAAAGTCCTGGTTTCCAATTGTGACCAGCTAAGTGAGGAAGAAGGAAAGGGGATAGAAAAGACAGCAAGGGAGAAAGAAGAGAATGGCTGAGGAGGAAGTGGCAGAGTGATTATTGGATGAAGACTGATTTCAGGTCTCAAGTCTGTCACCAAATTTCTGGGTGACCTTGGACTATCTCTCCACTCTCTAGGTCTAAGTTTCTTCATCTGTCAATGAAACTAAGCCATAAAATATTTAAACACAGATGTCAGATCCCTGGTGAACACAGCTGGTAAACTGAGAAGCATGGGGCCCAGACTCTTTCCACACTTTGGGGGCCCCCAGAGATTATGAGTTTCCTCTTAGGAGTTCCTCTGGGATGATAAAGACACTAGCATTATAACATTTAATAATGTGCCTATTTGTGACCAGTTGCTTCTCTCATTTAATTTTCTCTGGGACTCTCTCAGGTAAGAATTGTTATTTATGGACGAGGAAGCAGAGACTTAGAAAGATTAAAAGAAGAAGAACTTCCACTGCATCTATTCCCCATCCTATTCCCTTACCCACAGGGAGTAGAATACCCCTCTCTGGGTTTCATAACTGGAAGGGGTTTAATAAGAAGCCCAAGGCATGAGTCACCTTCCCAGGAAACATCTTGCATGATTCTGGCCATTAGGACAAGCAATGAACTATATATCCCACCATCTTTCACCTGTTCAAATTTCTCCATTAGAGTCACACCTTTTTGGATCCAGAGATCAATTGGATTCTGGAGCCCCAGCTGGGAAGAGTTTCTAAATTAAGAATGACCAGCAGTCAATATCAGTAACAGGACTATTTCATCTTAGATCCATTTGCTATAGTTGATGAGAATTTCCACATCAATGATATCTTTGATCCTATGTGAGATAGAGGTTATACTCCTACCTGACAGGAAAGGAAACTGAGGCACAGAGGTAGGGGTGATTTGCTTAAAATTGAACAGCTGGTCAGCAACAGGGTCAGCACATGAATCCAGGTCTATCTAGGATCAACATCAAGGTCTTTTCCTCTGCACTTTGTCCCATCCTGGGGGCAGAGCTGGGGTATGGGAGAAAGCAAACAAGAGCTTCCTAAGTTCACAGTTCTGCTGAGCTGAGGCCTGAAAACAGATAAGTCTAAGGATGGGGAACAAGGATGGCAGCAGATGGAGACAGACACTAGGTATCAATTTGGGGACAGGCAAGGGTCACATAAGGGTAGGCAGAGCAAATGCCTGTGAACTCTGTCTTCCAGGGGCTGCCCAAACTTCCAGTGCCCCCACTACAGCAGACCCTGGCCACTTATCTGCGGTGCATGCAGCACCTGGTGCCCAAGGAGCAGTTTAGGAGGAGCCAGGCCATCGTGCGGCAGTTTGGAGCCCCTGGAGGCCTCGGCGAGACTCTGCAGCAGAAGCTCTTGGAGAGGCAGGAGAAGACAGCCAACTGGGTAAGGGTTGCTGGGAGCGGGCTGACTGGGGGACAGACATAGGACTTATGGGGCAGAGGTACAAGAGGGAGACTTGGAGAAGGAAGGATTTGGGTGAGGGACAGGTAGGTGACAAAGATGGGGCAGATGGAAGAGAGGGATCAGGGACAAATAGGGCCAAGGATGAGGAATGGACAAGATATGTGGACAGAGTGCTGACAAATGGGGAAAGGGATGCAGGACAATGACAGGAACAGACAAGGACAGGTTCAGGGGATAGATGGGTGAGAGAGATGGGGCAGCAGAAGGTATTGATGAGGTTAGGGAAGCAGAGAGGGATGAAAGGCAAGAATGAGACCCCCATAAGAATGGGCAGGGGACATGGATAAAGCACCAAACAACCAAGATGAGAAATTTGGGATGGAAGAAAGGAGAGAGTACAGTGCAAGGATGAAGGACAGGCATGTGGGTTGGGAAACACATGTTCCTAGCACATAACTGGGGCCCAGTGTGTGTTTGTGGAATGAATGAATGAATGAATGAATGAATGAATGAATGACGTGCATGATTCAGTGAAGTGTCCCAGTTGTCTCTCAGGGCTGTCAGAATGGGATTGGTGTGCTCCACAAGCAAGGTGCCCTTTCTTGGAGGGAGTGTATGTGGCCCTTGCAGGTAATGGCTCCCCTTCCCTACTCTCCCCTGCAGGTGTCTGAGTACTGGCTGAATGACATGTATCTCAATAACCGCCTAGCCCTGCCTGTCAACTCCAGTCCAGCTGTGATCTTTTCCCTGCAGCACTTCCAGGACACAAATGACCAGCTAAGGTGAAGTCACTCTGCTCTTTGGCTCACAGCTTGGAAGTCTGCCTGGGGGAGGGGTCCTGGCCCCAGCACCAGGAAGGAAAGGATGGAGCTTGTGTCTTAGCAGAGCTTTCTGAGGCCAAATGGCCCTGAGACAGGGGCTGTCCAGGCCATGGGGTCAGGAAAGAGTTTAGTGAGGCTGCACATGAGGAACAAACACATTTGGAGTGGGTGGGCACTAATGGAGGGCATGGGCCCCCAGATGTCCCTATGGCAAGTCTTGACCTGGCTGAGGGTCTGGGAGGAGATGGATACCCTTTGATCCTGCCAGTACTTGAGGCTGGGAATTGTTGGTGGGACTCACCACCCCAGGTGATCTGAGAGGCCCCAGCTGCCCTCTACCCCCAGCTCTAAACAGAGCCTCCAAGGGGTTGGCAATGGTTTCTTTTCACCAGCTGCCTTTGCCAGATCTTGTACCATCTGCTGCAATTTCACAGCTCACTGGGCCACTGGAATGGCCTCTGGGCCCACTAATGACAATAGAAGGGCCATTATGCAAGGATGGGGCAGGTAGAAAACATCTCCCTGCAAGAATCACTCAGACCCAAATCTGGGTCTCTGATTTTAAGACCAGAAGGAGACACAGTGTGGGGATACTTCAGAGGGAGGAAGAGATCAAAGGACTGAGCCTATCTCACCTACAGGAATGGCTCAGCTATGCTTGGGAAATTTCCAACCTGTCCTTTCTCACCAAGACCAGTCCAAAGGTCTGGGGGCAACCTTCCCCCTTCTCCTGCAGCCAGGGCCTCCTCTGGTCAAAAGGATGTGTGTGTGGATGGATGAATGACTTCTGAGAACAGTTCTCAAAATTCCATCCAAGTAGGCATTTTCCTCCTGATGCAGTTAAGCCAGGGCTCATTCCTCCATGAACAGTTAAGATGACACAATTCCATGGCATGGTTCTCTGATGCCTTTTTCCTCCAGTACCTGCTTTCCTTTTCATTAGCACTTAGGAAACCAAATTACTAACTTTTCCCAGGAGACTGAATTTCCTACTACCCCAGGGTCCTGGCCCAGTCCAGCCCCAGAAAGAGCTTTCCTAGGAAGAACCCCACCCCTCATTTTCTAGCCCTTTCCTGTCTGCTCTATGGCCTCTTCCTGGCTTCCTCTCCCTCCTCCTTTTGCTTCTCATTCACATTCTAGTGTCCTCTCTCCCTGGAAGTATTCTTTCCAGGGGTCCACTTTTAATCCAAAGCTTGTGAAAGGCTGACAGCATAGAGATGGGTAAAAGGCAGCAGGTATCCCATCCTGTTAGGGTATTTCTGAGACCTGGCATCTAGCAAGTGATTACTGAGTTTGAAGTAGGGGGAGGATGTGGGCGGGAGGGAGGGAGAGTGAGAGAGAGAGAGAAGAGGGAGGGAAGAAGTGGGCAGAAAGAAAGGAAGAAGGAAAGAAGGAGAAAGGGATATTGGAGAGAGAGAGAGAGGGAGGGAGGAAGCCTGGGTGCCTGAGAGGAGAGGCTAAGGCCTCATCTCTCCCTGCAGGTTTGCTGCTAACCTAATCTCTGGAGTACTCAACTACAAGGCTCTGCTGGACAGGTAAGACTGGGCCCAGCCTGGGAAAGGTAGTGCCCCGTTCTGGCACAGCTATTCATTCACTTGTCTCTCTGCCACATTAGACAAGGAGCACTAGAGGGCAGGGAACTTGTCTTTTTTCAGCTCTGTGTTCCTGGCTCCTATCGAAGAGTACATAGGACCTCCCCCAGCCTGCCCCCCAGCACCACCCCACCTCCCACCCTGCCCTGGGGCCAGGATGACCTTTACTTCCTCTGGCCCAATCATTAATATTTCCTTTTCCTGTTGCAAGCACTATCCTACCTTGATCCTTTTAAAATGCCTCCCTTCCTCCATACCTTATATATACACAAGAGTATGTTTATCAGGAGTCTAGAGAACACACAAGAAGATGGAGAAAGGATAGTCAGCCTTGCCACCTGCTGCTACTTGAGGGAGATGGTCTCCTCAGCCTGAGCCTCTTTACTTGGCTTCAAACTCATTTTACTTTCTGTCTTGAACCAATGTTAATTGAACAATTTGTTGAGTTTTTTAAAATTTTATAAAATGTTTGTAAAACACAAAAACGAATTAGTAGAAAATGGTACAAAGATATAAAATATGAGACCACTCTTATACAAAACTAGGTTTTAACTTTATATTTTTTATTTTTCAATTACAATTTACATTCAATATTATTTTGCATTAATTTCAGGTATACAGTTAAGTGGTTAGATAATCATATACTTTACAAAGTATTCCCCTGATAATTCTACTACCTACCATACATAGTACTATATTCCCTATACCGTCCTTTACATCCCTGTGACTATTTTATAACTACCAATCTGTACTTAATCTTTTTCACCCTTCCCCAACAGCCCTGCCCTTTAAAAGTTATCAGTCTATTCTCTGTATCTATGAGTCTGTTTCTGTTTTCTTTGTTCATTTACATTGTTCTTTAGATTCCACTTATTAAGTGAAATTATATGTTATTTGTCTTTCTCTGACTGACATTTCACTTAGCATAATATTCTTTAGGTCTACTCATGCTGTCGCAAGTGGTAAGATTTGCTTATTTTTCATGGTTGAGTAATATTCCATTGTATATATGTACCACCTCTTTTTTATCCAGTCCTTGATTGGTAGGAAGTTAGGTTGCTTCCATATCTTGGCTATTGTAAATAATGTTGCAATGAACATAGGAGTGTGTATATTCTTTTGAGTTTTGGGTGTCTTCAAATGTATTCCCAGAGGTAAAATTATAAGGCAGTTCCAGTTTTAGTTTTTTGAAGAACCTCTGTACTGTTTCCCACAGTATTGTACCAATCTTCATTCCTACCAACAGTGCACCTTTCTCCACATCCTCACCAACACTTGTTTGTTGATTTACTGATGATAACCATTCTGACAGGTGTGAGGTGGTATCTCATTGTGGCTTTAATCTGCATTTCTTGGATGATTAATGGTGTTAAACATCTTTTCATATGTCTATTGACCATCTGTATGTCCTCTTTGGAAAAGTATCTGTTCATATTCCCTGCCCATTTTTTAATGGATTGGTTTATTTTTTTAGTTGTATGAGTTCTTTATATGTTTTGGATATATTAACCCCTTATCAGATATATCATTGGCAAATATGTTCTCCCATTCAATTTCAATGGGTTGTCTATTCATTTGTTGATGGTTTTCTTTGCTGTGCAAAAAATTTTCAGTTATATATAGTCCCATTTGTTTTTTTTTCTTTTGTTTCCCTTGCCCAAGGAGATATATCAGAAAAAAATATTGCTACAAGAAATATCTGAGATTTTACTGTCTATGTTTTCTTTAGGAGTTTTATGGTTTCAAGTCTTACATTTAAGCCTTTAATCCATTTTGAGTTTATTCATGTATTGGTGTAAGAAAGTAGTTTAGTTTTATATGTTTTGCATGTTATCTGTTTAATTTTTTCAATACTGCTTAATAAATAGATGATCTTTACCCCATTACATGTTCTTGGTCTCCTTTGTCATAAATACTTGACCATGTAGGCATGGGTTTATTCCTGAGCTTTCTATTCTTTTTTTTTTTTTTTTTTTTTTTTTTAAGAATAAACACCTTTATTACATGAGCTAAGATAGGAGATAGGAGGATTTATTTGCTTTTCAAAGCCTTGATTTTTTTCAGCTAGTACTTCAGTTCCTTGCCCTCCAGCACACAGCCACCTGTGTGGCCACATTGGTCTGCTTTTGAAGGATGCAAGCAAGAAGATTGCCCTGCTGGAACTGCTCCTTGAGAAGACTGCTGATTGTGACATTGGCATTCTTTTTCCTTTCATCATATTTCTTCTGAATTTTCTTTGATTGCTTTTTGTTTAAAATCTCTTCCCCCTCAGGATTCAGCCCGGCCATCTTCTTGCAGCCCAGGGGTAGTGCCTAGCGGGACTTGTTCCACTATCGGTATAGTTGCCGTCAATAAGCAGGATGCAGCTCTTATTAGGGTCTCAGTGTGGACTATTTTGTTGTTGCATACATTGTAGACAACATAAACAATCCTTGTTTTGCATATATAATACTATGACCTCCAGGAGAAGTTGTCCATGTCTAAACTCAAGGTTCAGTACTTCTTGTTGCCTCTCTGCATTCAGACTGTGTATGCAGCAGGAATCAATCTTAGTGGGAACCAATCTTAGCATTGAGAGCAGGATGTCCCAGCTCGTATTTTCTCTTCTTATAGCGGGGCCTTCTCTTGCCCTACGTCTTGTGGTACTTGTGCCTGTTATCTTTAGAGATGCCCATGGCTTATTCTGTTCCATTGATCTGTATGTCTGTTTTCATGCTAGTACCATGATGTTTTGAATAGAACCTTATAGTAGTTTGCTATCAGGTAGCATGATACCTAAAACTCTATTCTTCTTTCCCAAAATTGCTATGGCTATTCAAGGTCTTTTGTGATTCCAAATAAATTGTAAGATTCTTTGTTGTAGTTCTGTGAAATACACCATTGGGATTTGATAGTATTGTGATGAATCTGTAGATTTCTTTGGACATTTTTATAATGTTAATTTTTCCTATTCAGGAGCACAGTATATACTTGCTTTTATTTGTACCTTCTCTTCAGTGTTTTATAATTTTCTAAATGCAGGTCTTTTACTTCCTTGGTTAAATTTATTCTTAGGTACTTTATTTTATTTGATACAATTGTAAACGTATCAAGTAGTTTCCCTTTCTGATAGTTCATTTTTAGTGTATGAAAATGCAACCAATTTCTGGATATTTATTTTGTATCCTGACACTTTTTTTCAGTTCTAGTAGTCTTTTTGGTGGAATCTTTAGGGTTCTCTATATACAAAATCAAATCACCTGTGAAAAATGACAGTTTTACTTCTTTCTTTCTAATTTGAATGCCTTTTATTTCTTCTTTTTGTCAGATTGCTATGGCTAGGACTTCCAGTACTGTGTTGAATGAGAGTGGTGAAAGTGGACATCCCAGTCTTGTTCCTGATCTTAAGAGAAACACTTGTAATTTTTGCTCATTGACTATGATGTTGGTTGTGGGTTTGTCACATATGGCCTTTATTATGTTGAAGTATGTTCTCTCTATTCCCACTTTGCTCAGAGTTTTTATCATAAATAGATGCCGAATTTTATCAAATGCTATTTCTGCATCTGTTGATATGATCATGTGGTTTTTATCCTTCCTTTTGGTTATGTGGTGTATCATGTTTATTGATTTGTGGATATTTCACCAACCTTGCATCTCAGGAAAAAAATCCCACTTGATCATGTTTTATGATCTTTCTAATGTATTGCTGGATTTGGTTTGCTAACATTTTGTGAAGATTTTAGCACATATATTCCTTAGGGATATTAGCCTGTAATTTTCTTTCTTGGTAGTGTCTTTATCTGGTTTTGGAATTAGGATAATGCCAGCCTCATAAAATGAACATATGAGTCATCCTTCCTCTTGAACTTTTTGGAATAGTTTGAGAAGGATAGGCATTAGTTCTTTGAATGTTTGGTAAAATTAACCTGTGAAGTCATCTGGTCCAGGGCGTTTGTTTGCTGAAATTTTTTAAATTATCATTTTCATTTCCTTAATTGTAATCACTCTGCTCAGATTTTCTGATTCTTTCTCATTCAGTTTTGGAAGATGGTATGTTTATAGGAATTTTTCCATTTCTTCCACATTGTCCAATTTGTTGGCATATAGATGTTTGTAATATTTTTTTACAATCTTTTTTTCTGTGGTGTCAATTGGTACTTCTCTTTCATCACTGATTTTATTTATTTGAATTCTCTCTTTTTTTTCTAGATGAGTCTGGGTAAAGGTTTACCAGTCTTCTTTATTTTTTTTCAAAGAACTAGCTCTTGGTTTCACTGAGAACCTTAAAGATTCCACCAAAAGACTACTAGAAGTGATAAATAAAGTAGCAGGATACAAAATAAATGTTCAGAAATCTATTGCATTGTTTTGTATTGTTTTTTAGACTCTATTTCATTTATTTGCATATGATCTTTATTATTTTTTCTTTTACTCTCTTTGGGCTTTCTTTGTTGTTTTTTTTTTCCTCTAGTTCTTCTACATGTAAAGTTTTATTATTTATTTTAGGTTTTTTTTTTCTTTTCTTTTCTTTTGAGATAGACCTGTAATGCTATGATTTTCCCTCTTAGGACTACTTTTGCTGTCCTTAGATTTTGGGTTGTTGTATTTCCATTTTCATTTGTCCTAAGGCATCTATGATTTCTTCCTTGATCTCATTGTTAACCCTTTCATTGTTTAGTAACATGTTATTTCGCTTCCATGTATTTGTGTGTTTTTCAGATTTTTTTCTTGTAATTGATGTCTAGTTTAAAAATATTGTGGTCAGAGAAGATGCTTGATATGATCAATATCCTTAAATTTATTGAGACTTGTTTTATGTTCTGACATGTGATGCAACCACTTTTATTATTAGATTCAATAGACATAAGATTCCTCTTTTCAGCTGGTTCAAAACTCCCTCTGGATTTCCAGGCTCGCCCTCTTATGGGTTGGTCATTACAGTTTAGTTAAATACACACATTTGGAGCAGAAGTGTCAGGGGGCACCCACACGGCCACCCTGATGGGCCTCTGCTTTTCTCATGGCTGCCCCTTACCCTCAAGGCTCAGCGCAAACATCTGGTCATCAGTGAGATTGTCCTTGGCCGCTCCTCCTTGCCACCCTGAAGCTCTACCTGAAACCTTCACATTTACCAATTTTATGCTTGTTTTCTGCACCCCATTAGAATAGTAAACTCTTGTCTTGTTTGCTGCTATATTCCCCAGATCTAAGAATGGTGCCTGGCATGAAGGAATGCTCAATAATATTTATTGGCTGAAAAGGTGGAGGGAAGGAAGGGGAGAGAAATAAAGGGAAAGAAAGAGGAGGGGCATGAAGGAGGGAGGTAGAACACAAGACTTGCTGAGACCACAGGAAAAAGAGAATTTCTGTCTTGAACTCAGAGGATGCTTCTGGAAGAGATGATGAAGGAGTAGGCTCTTAAAAGAGTGGAAGAGGTTTTCTAAACAAATTAGTTGAGTGCAAGGTTGGGATGGAGATATGCCTAGCAAAGAATAGAATAAGTAAAGGCAAACGGGACTAAAATGGTAAAGTCTACACTGTAGTGCAGAAGGCAGGGGTAAGGGATGCTAATGAAGGTGCAAGAAAACCCTGAGGGTCTTCTTGGGCATGTAAATTAGGTATTCCACTACTTTAAAAGTGAAGAGTTGAGCTCTTTGACTGCCATCACAATGCAGTTCCGGTTTTTATGTTTTGCTTTGCCTAATCAAGTTACAGGAGAACCAGTTCTGATTTCCTCCCCCCTCCCCACTCTCCCCTTCCAGTCACTCCATCCCCACTGACTGTGCCAAGGGCCAGCTGTCTGGGCAGCAGCTCTGTATGAAGCAATACTATGGACTCTTCTCCTCCTACCGACTCCCTGGCCATACCCAAGACACATTGGTGTCCCAGAAGAGCAGTGTCATGCCTGAGCCAGAACATATCATTGTGTCCTGCTGCAACCAGGTAAGCAGCCCCTTGCTGCTGGGAAGGACACATGTGTGCTCATCCATTCCTGCTTTCCCAAGGGTGCTCAGCCCCCTCCCTGAGCCAAACAGTGAGCTGTGGCAGAGTGGCCCCAAAGTGAGGCCTCCTGGCTCCCTGTCAGTTCCATTTCTCTCCACCGGGTAGACTTTAAGAATAAGGAGAGTCATCAGTTGAAAACACCTTTACTGGGCTCCCATTCTAGCTCTGACCAGCCAGGTCAGGTCAAAAGAGCAGCCTGGATGGATGTACTCAGGGTTGATAATGAGATCCAGCATGGTCTCAGACCTCCACATGCAGTCACTCAGGCTATGGCCTTCTAAGAGACTATACCCCAGAAAGGCAGTTTTGTACACTGTTAGGACCTCCTTGCTTTTTTTTTCTCCCTCTACTTACTAGTGTGTTTGAGATCTATCCTTATAGTTGTATATAGAGCTATTTAATTCTTTTCAACTGCTAAGTAGACAGGCACTGGATAACTATACTACATTTTACTTAGTCACTTCCTACTGGAGACATTTAGGTTCCTCTACCATTTTGCTACATCAAACAATGCTCATATGCACATTCCTTTTTACATCTTTCGCAGCACAAAGGTATATGTTCTTTAAGCCTTTAGGTTAAGCTATGTATTTATAAGAGCAATTGCTGAGTTATAGGGTATAAACATTTTTAGTTTTAATAGAAATTATCCCCCAAAAGTGATTGTACCAATATATACTCAATTCCCTGCAAACATAATGGCCTTTATATGAACTAGGAAATACAAAAGCAAGTGTTCTAAATTTAATCTGGATTTCCTTGAATTGAGGAAGCTTAGAGTCCAACACAATTGACAGAGTTCTGGTTCCCAAATTGTGACTATTCAGAGCCATCACATACCTTGGGAGCCTTGGGCCTGAGGATCTCCGTCTGTTCTCAGATGTGAAGATTCAGTGAAGATTCAGTGAAGCCTGGCACTGTGGGCCAGCTGCCATGAATGACATGTTTGACCTGTTTCCCCCACAGTTCTTTGTCTTGGATGTTGTCATTAATTTCCGCCGTCTCAGTGAGGGGGATCTGTTCACTCAGTTGAGAAAGATAGTCAAAATGGCTTCCAACGAGGATGAACGCTTGCCTCCCATCGGCCTGCTGACATCAGACGGGAGGAGCCAGTGGGCTGAGGCCAGGACAGTCCTCGTGAAAGGTCAGCAGCAGTGCCCAGTGCATCTCTATGTTCACCTCACCCTTGCGCCCATTTGCTTTCTCTCATCCAGGGTTGGGCACCAATGACTCATCCCCATTTGCCATTGCATGGAGAGCTGAAGGCTCCCTTCAACTCAGGCTCCAGTAGCAAGTGTTGCTGTCAGCCAAGGTGCCTCGATGCTGAAGGCACCTTTGGTACCCTCTTATATCATCTGACAATACTCTAGCTTTCTGGGTGAGCCTGACTGGAACTGGAATCCTGGGGTGTCTAGAAGTGCTGGGAGCAGGAATATTTCAAGGTGGAGGCAGGCCGGCAGCAATTTAGCAGTTGTGTTTTACTTGTTGGCAAGGATGGCTTTCATTGGAGGGGTCTGAATTACTGGGAGAGCTGTCAGATAAAGATTTGGAATGGAGCTCACCTCTGGGAAGGTGCCATCTTTACGTGAATTTTTGGTCTTAAATCTTTTCATCTTCAAGCTGAAAGTTTCCAAGTATCCCTATAAAAAATCCAGTAGTGTCTTAACATTTTAAAGTCATCCTGTGGAAACTACTTTTCAAATCCAAAGCCAGCTCTATTCCCAGGAACTGGGTGAAGCGTCTTCCTTTTCTGCCTATGTTAGAAACTCCTGGATGATAAGTGAGACTTCCATGAGCCTCTATCTGCTCCTCAGGTTTTCAGTTGGCCAGGTGTCCATCTAGACCCCCTAAGTGTCTTACAGAGGACCTGGGCTAGGCCTGGGGAGTATGATAGGAAGAAGCACCTACCCTCAAGGCCACTAGATAGGAATGGGGAAAGAGAGGGCATCAGGGAGCAGGCTCAAATATATGACATCTACTAATGTAAGGTAATTAGAGACAGTAGGTGCCAAATAAGTGCTTCAGGACTTCAGAGCAGGAAAATGGCCCTTCTAATTGGGAAGGTTTCAAAAGATTTTGTTGGAAGAGGTGGAAATTGTGCAAAGTCCTATGACATAAGTGAGAGTGACAGGAGGGATGGATCATGTCAAGGCTGGCAGATTGATTGTGGGCAAAGCCTACTGCCCACCAGGGACATCTGCCCTGCCCAGTACCATGATGATAGCAACCTGGCTGGTAAGAATGGCCATGCTGAATATACTGAGAGAAGTAAGAGGTAGTGTGACCTGGCTCTCTGACAACAGGCATTTGACTTTTCTGACCTCTCTTGCTAGAAAGTTCTTCCCATGGGGCTGGCTGGCTCTTTGCACTACCTAGAGCTCAGCTCAGGTGTCACCACCTCAGGACCTCCTTGAGCATTTCTCCCCAATCATATTCTGTCACTTTGACTTGTCTTCTCATCTTGATTACATTTTTCACTTGCAATCAGCTTTTCCTTTGTTTGATTCGTGCTGATTATTTGCCCCCTCCACCACTGCCACCAGTCAGTAAGGTCCAGAAGAACAGGGACCTTATCTGTTTGGTTTAACTTTGAACCTGCTGTGCCAAATACAATAAGCATTCAATTATATTTGTTAAATAAAATACTGAAGGATTATTAAAGATACTAAGCCCCAGGCTTATTTCCCATTTACCAATTAATTCTTCTTTCATTCAGTTATTGGGCACCTGTGAATGCTTGGTTCTAAATAAGGGGTTGCATAGGCCACAAGGAAGTTTGAGAGTGGAGCTTGTTCTCACAGACCTAATTGCCAAGTTGAGGAATTAATAACTTATCATTTGAAAGTCAGTTAATTCCCTTAGGAGACCATGGTGTAATCAAATCCCACTCTTCTCCCCTCCAGGGACAGTGACAGGCATCAAAATAATCGCTTCTGCTTCCAGTACAGTTTCCACTTTATTAGCAGGCCAGGCCAAGCCATCTCTCTGCAGGACTGCTGGGATTGCCTTGAGGTCTCAGTGCTTGCACTGCACTAATCGGAATTAATTTGTTAATGGCACTTGATCTGGTCTTCTGAATAGAAGTGCTGTTTCTGTGGAAAGTGTGAGAGAAACAGGGGGCTGCAAATGCCTTCTTTTTAGAAATCCAAATAATCCAGTTTGCACTGACTGTGTCATCTGCACAGCAGGAAACCAATGCTTTGCAGAGTCTTCTTCTCTGGAGCAGCCCTTTCACACTGAAGGAAAATGGGGAAACCATATAGAAAACAATTTTGGTGTCAAAGTAAAAGATTATGGCAGCTTGGGCTAGGGTTGAGGGGGAAGATGGAAAGACACGGGTGGGGTCTAAATATATTTCAAAGTAGAAGAGGAAGAATAAAAGAAGTGTGTAGTGTTCCTAAGCCTTTGATTTGAGCAACTGAATAGATGGCAGTTTTATTCACTGAGATGGGACCAGGTTGAGGAGATGGCTACAAAATGGAGAAGTCCTTTCCAGGTATGGCAGGGTTGAAATGTCTTGAGTCATCTAAGTGGAGACATCAGATTAGATCTATGTGTCTGGAACTCAAGAAAGAAGTCAGTACACAGATATAATTTGAGAGCCATCAGCACATAAATGATATTTAAAGTCATTGACCTGGGTGAGATCATTTAGAAGCAGAAAAATGGGACCTTGGAGGTCAGGAAAGGAAAGATACTAAGGGGGATTGAGAAAGAGCAGCCCTGGAGTCAAAAGAAAGCCAGATGAGTCATAAAGATCCAAGATGGGAGGAGGAAGTGGCCAACCACAGCAAATACTGCTGAGAGCTCAAGGAATAGTCACCAGTGAACTTCACAAAGGTCAGACTGGAGTAGTAGGAAGAATGAATGGTTGTTTGCTGATAGAAGTGATCCAACAGCATACAAGAAATTGTTGATGAGGTCAATGAGTACAATCAATAAGTGTGGATGACTCTTTTCAGACATTTTGGTATTAAAAGAAGAAGGAAAATGCCCTGACTGGTGTGGTTCAGTTGGTTGAGTGTCATCCCGCAAAATGAAAAGTGGCCAGTTTGATTCCCCATCAGGGCACATGCCTGAGTTTCAGGTTCAGTCCCCTGTCCAGGTGTGTGTGAGAGGCAACTGATCCCTGTTTCTCTCTCACACTGATGTTTCTCTCTCTCTCTCCCTTCCCTTTTCTCTAGTAATAAATAAATCAAATCTTTAAGACATAAATAAATAAAAGGAGCAGAAAATGGAGAAGTTGCTGGAAGAGGATGGGGTAAAAGGAAGTGTTTTTAGTAGGAAAGGCAAGCACACAGTTGTGTGCAGACAATACATGCATAATCCCACAAAAGAACTGTTAATTAAGAGAGAAGAGGCAAATGGAAGGGTAGAATTCTTGAAAAGACAAAGATGGAAGCCAAAGAATAAGAGGCCTTCAGTTGGTGCAAGGAAAATGGAAACCTGAACCCAAGGTCCATAAGACTGTGCTGTGGTGGCACTGTGAAAAGGTTCCCAACTGGTGGCATCTGGTCTCAGATCAGCAAAGTTGTAGCCAGGAGCTGAGAGGAAGAAAATGGGATTCTGAAGACAAAAGAGAATGCATGAAATAGCCTCTTAGAAATTGGGAAAGAGAGCTTACTCATGAAACTTGATAAGATCTATGGACTGTTTTGAGCTCATATTTGAGGGCTTAGGGTTAATGCATTTAGCAAAAACCAATTAGCATTGTTTTGCAATTTTCCCTCACAATGTTCAGGTCCTCAGATTCAGGCAAGGAGAAGGTAGGTCACCAGGCTCAGCGAAGACTGGTGATTATGACTGAGGGAAAGGAGGGGAAGATGTGGCAAGAAAATGTTTATAATGCTGGAATCTAAACTGAGTTTGCTAGGGCTGCCATAACAAAGTACCACATACTGAGTGGCTTAAACAACAGAAATTTATTTTCTCACAGTTCTGGAGGCTAAAGATCTGAGATTAAGGTATCAATGGGCTTAGTTTCTTTGAGGCCCCTCTTCTTGGCTTGTGGTTGTCTGTCTTCTCCCTGTGTCCTCACATAGCTTTTCCACTGTGTTCTAATCTCCTCTTCTTATAAGGACACCAATCTTGTTGTAGTAGGTCCCATCCTAATTACCTCAATTACTTCAATGAAGACCCTATCTCCAAATATAGTCCCATTCCAAGATACTGGAGGTTAGGACTTCAACTTAGGAATTTTGGGAGAACACAGTTTAGCCCATCACAAGAGGGAAGTGAAAAACAAATGTGGGTAATGGATAGTGGAAATAGGTAGTGAGGCTTATGGTTTTGGGGTGTCCATGAGGTGAGCCATGTTGCAGTGGGGGTAACAAAGTATGTGAATCAAAAAGTCAAGAGTGGTCAGAGGGTTAGATGCTTGAAATTGAGACTTCGGGGGCGGGGGGGTCAGTTCCTGGTAATGATGAATTCCCGGATGTGATTGTGGGAGTGGGTGGGAGGTTAGACTGCCAAAGTTGGGAGGTCAAGGATCTGAGAGAGGATGATGTGGGCTGGGTTATCCACATGGACACTGAAGCTACTGGGACAATAATTGGAGTAGTGACGGGGAGGAGAAAGATGAACCAGGAGGCCATATCTGCATGATAAAGAGGTTGGTGTAACACAGCAATAAGAGGATGAAGCTGCTGCTCCAAAGGGAAAGGAAGGAGGAGGAGTCATTTAAGAGCAGGAACTGGGAGAAGGAAACCACCTACCTGACCTGGCCCTGGAGTACATGAGCATCAAGGAAAATAGTCCATGAATGGGCACAGCGATATGTACCCCTCAGAGAAAGCCGCCCTTCAGTTCAGGCATAAGGTAAACAAGAATATGTACAGAAGAGGTAACAATGCAGGGGGACCAGCCAGCACTAGTCAGGTGTCACAAAGTATTCAGGAAGGAGGAAAGGAGAGGGGTGAGGTTGAGCCTACACAGGGAACATTGGATCAGCGGGACATGGGAGTGCTGGCAACACACCCAGGAACAATGGTCATCACTGCAAACAGTACTCCCAAATCTTTCACTGCCTGGAAGCTACTCTATCCTGGTTCTAGGCATGCCTGCTTGGCTATAGTTACAGAGGGTGGGGATAGCTTTCTGACCCATAGCAGTATCAGTTAACACTATGGAGTAGATGCTTCTCAG